TCACCATCTAGATGAGGCTCCAAGGCGGGCAGAGTCTGTCCCAGATCACAGAAACAGGAAATGACTGTATGTATATGGGGTGGGGACTAAACCCTGATCGGATTCCATGTACCTTGCTCTATCCTTGTGCCCCCAATCACTGTGGGCAGTGCTGTCCCTGTGTCCCCTCTGCACTATGGGCAGTGCTGTCCCTGTGTCCCTTATGCACTATGGGCAGTGCTGTCTCTGTGTCCCCTCTGCACTGTGGGCAGTGCTGTCCCTGTGTCTATTCTATGCACTGTGGGCAGTGCTGTCCCTGTGTCTATTCTATGCACTGTGAGCAGTGCTGTCCCTGTGTCCCCTCTGCACTGTGAGCAGTGCTGTCCCTGTGTCCCCTCTGCACTATGAGCAGGGCTGTCCCTGTGTCCCCTCTGCACTGTGGGCAGGGCTGTCCCTGTGTCCCCTCTGCACTGTGAGCAGTCCTGTCCCTGTGTCCCCTCTACACTGTGGGCATGCTCCGCTAATGAGCTCCTTCTTGGAGGTCTTCACCAGCAGGAAACCGGGCCCAGCTAACAGCCTAATGAGAATTCACGGAAGTCTAAAGTGAGAGGGACAGGCCTTCTCTTCCCTCTACCTGACCTGGTGCTTGTCTGAGTCAGCCCCGGTAAGCACGGCTCTTCTAACGTGTAGGCTGACCCTTACCTTATATGGAACCAGTATGTCTTGTATTCTGTAAGGGAAGGGCAAAATGTTTAAAAAAGGTTGCATTGGGGGCTTTGATGACCAGGGTCTAGCGTGTATGACAAACAAAGGCCCTGGGGAAGGGGGAGGCAACAGGAGATTTGGCTCACAAGTCAGTGGACAGGGTTCCATGTTTGATGTCACCATTCCACAGGGACAAAGGAAAACAGGTCAGGTGTCCACTTAGAGGGTGAGAGGGTCACCCTCTCCTGCTGCTCCTGGAGAAGGGAAGATAGCCAGCCTGCATGCTGGCTCCTCACAGACCCAGGACAAAACAATAGAGGCCAGAGACGGACACAGACCTTACAGCAGAGCCCTTGGGGTGTACATCTGTCTCCTGTGCTCTGCGATTTGAGAATCCCCTTCGGGGCCTATCTTGAATGTTAGTTCTTCTCCTGTCAGCCCTGCTTTTCACCAGGAGCGAGTGTCCAATGTGCTCACCCACCTTACCCTGCCACACCCAGCTTTGGATGATTTGTGGCTTCCACACCTTGAATGCCTTTCAAGGAAAACATGCTTAGCTCGCTAAAGGGATTCCGAGAATGGACCACAGGCTGAGAAAAAGCGTATGGCGAGGGACCGGTGTGCAACTCCTGGGGAGGAGACTGGATTCAGTTCTGCTAGGTTACTTATACAAGCAAACTCTGGGATGCGGGGATGAGGCTGGTGGGATCCCTGCCATTTCTGGGAGTCTGGTTCACAGAACAGTGGAGGACCCCCCAGCTCAGGTGCCCCCGATGTAGAGAGGAGTAAGGTCCCAGCTTCCTCACAAGAAGGCTCAGGGTGAGCTTATCAGCTCACGTCTAGGGTCCTGCGGCTCAGCAGGGACCTTGGGGCCTGCGGCCTTGACCTAATATTTAGGTCTCAGCCCTTGTGTCTGTTGTTGACAAGAGAAGGAATTCATTCCCCTCAGCCTGTCAGGAAGAGTAACCGTCCTTCCTCAGGGAGCTTTAGGGTGATTTAGTAAGAATCCCTCAAGGAGAGTCTCGTTGACGTTCTGGCTCCAGGCCGAGCATGTCACATACATGACGCTTATGCAGAGGTCTGTGAGGAGAAATGTTTACTCTTACTCTGTCATGGGGGCGAGGAATTATTTGGCCACAAAGACCAGATTACTTGCCTAAGTATAGCAGCTTGGAGTCTGTTCTAGACCCTGAGGTGAACGTGGCTTTACTCAGTCACCAGGACCCCGTCCCACCCAAGTGGTGTTTCCCAAGATTTTCTGAGGAAGGACCTACTTTAAAATGGTACTACAAGACAGAGGCGACTTTCCTGGACGCTACAGAGCTTAGAAATGTTCCTCTCATTGCCACTATTGGGCCTGGTGTGGCCTGTAGAGGACCCTGCCTCCCCGCAGAGCTGGGCCCCAACACCGACATCGACAGTAGGCCTATGTAATGGCTTCCTTGTAATTCACGGTGGGCCCGTCACCCCTCTCCTCTAGGAGGAATTGTGGGACTCATCAGCCTCCCACCCCTGATTAGAAATTTCTGTGAACAGAAGATGTCTCGTTGGCCAGGAAGATTTTCTCAGCCTTGACTCTCTGGAGTTTGCTAAATAAATGTCAAATGATATCATTTATTATGCCCCAGCCACTCCCGACTCTGCACACCCTGGGAAACAAGACTTCACTTTTGGGAATGCTAAACTTGTTCCTTCCAAGGAGATGCTGGTATGTATGAGTTAGCCTGCCCAAGGGGAAGAGCTGTCTGCTCCATGGAACCTCTGACCTGCTCCTCTACCTCTGTCCAGATTTCCATCCCCGTGACATCCCCAAGAGGGGTCTGGCTGAACTCTGTTTAAACATGGTCAGCAACAGGGAGCTGCTGTCCCTCCCCAAGGCCTGTCTGGTCCCCTCACTGTTCAGTCCCCACAAGGGTCCAGGCCCCCATGTGTTTCTCTTCACATGCCCCAAGAGACACACGAGGTCGCGCCCCCCCACCCCAGCACCCTATTCTGACTTCCCAAACCACACAGGAGGAAGTTTCACCTGCTTTATGCTATTGCTACCTGCAGCCAGAGCCCTTGACTCTGTGGCCTTCTGGCTCTGTGGAGCTGCCTAGGGCCACAGTGTTGAGGTGTCGAAGGCCTCAGAGAACTAAGCAGGACAGAGAGGTTCTGTTACCCCATTTGTGTGACCCAGAGAGACGAAGTGGGTCCAAACCCTGATACCATTCCCACACCACAGGCCCCAGAGAATGCCAGGGGAAGAATACTGGGGTGTTGATTCAAAGAATACGACGATGAAGCTCATTCAGTAGCTTATGTCAACACTCCCACTGAGGGAGAGGCCGAGGAGCAGGCTAGCCAGCTGAGGATAGTCAATATTGACCTGGGTCTTGTCTGGGCCCAGTTCCAGCCCGTTCTAACAGTGCTGTGGTCCAGCAGCTGCTCACAGCAGCCCAGCCTTCTGACCTCTGTGGCTGTACCTAGAAACCCAGTCCTTTCCCATGCTGCTTCTGGAGAACAGCAATGGGCTGGCCTGGGCACGGGGCGCTAAGGTGGCTGAAGAGCGACATTCCCTAAGAGCGCTACAGGCCAGGGCCCTTCTTGCTGTCCTATTTCAACTGACTTCGTGTAGAAGCCCTGATCCTCAGAACCTTTCCAGAAGAACCTCAGCAGTTCTCGGCCACAAGACGACTTTACATTCCTGTAGTCCTTAACTTTCCAGATCGGTTTTCACCTCCTTGCTTTATGCTCAAAAACACTGTGAGATAGGCAGAGCCAGCTTTGCTGGACCTTTCTATTTATTTATTTTTTCTTTTCCTGTCCTGTTTTCACTATGTAGACCAGGCTGGCCTTAAACTCACAGAGATCCTCCTGCTCTGCCCACCCCCAATCATTGAGATTAAAGTCATATGCCACCATGCCCCACTATTGGTCCTATGGCGAGCATCAGGGAAAAGGAAGAAAGAGAGGGCACACGTGTAATGCCTGCCATGTGTCAGGTGTTGTCCTAGGTGCTTTTGATTCTTGAATCTAATGGTTGGTACAGTTATTCTGGGCTCCGTTTTACAGGTAGAGAAATTGAGGCTTGGAAAAAATCTCTCCTCAATTGTACATGGTAAGATGGGATACAAAGTCTCTCCAACTCCAAGCTCTCCCACCATGAGGAGCACCCAGGGACAGCAAACAGCCTGTCCTATCCCACAGCTACCTTGGGTCAAAGTCAAAGTCTCCTAGTGTCCCAGAAGTACCCAAGGAAACAATATCTCAGGTCAGGCCACGAACACGCGAGAATGCATGTAGCGTGTACAGATGTTCCTCCTGTTCATCTGTCAAGTTGGGTTTCCTTCCAGAAATGGTCCCTTCCCCCATGCTAGAGGTGGCGGGTTAGAATATCCTGTGGCTTACCTGCCTTAGACCCTCTGCCTTGGTTTTATGTCTGTCTACCCTCAGAAAAAAACAATAATAATCTTGCCAAGTGGACCACTCTTTTCTCAAAAGTCCCCAGCTCAAAGTAGCTTAAACTCTTGTAGGCAGAGGCTGGTGAGGTGGCCTCCTAAGCTGTTGGTCGTAAACCATTCCAGTTTCACATTTCAGCTATCCTAGGAGGGGAGCATTATCACCCCCACTTTACACTGAGCCCCACTTTACAGACATTTACAGTCAACAGTCAAGTGGAGGTCTGAACCCACCTCCATTTGGGTCTCAACCGATGTGTTCTCAGCCCTCTGTCCTATACACAGCAAGTGTAAAATAGGCAGAAATGGACTGGGGAGCCCTCCCCAGCTTCGCATAGAAAAACAAGCCAGAAGAACCTAAAAAGCACTAGAATATGGCAAAATACAGAGGATATAGCATACATCCCAGGAACTCTGTGCCTTAGTTCCTAGTGATCCCAGTAGCGGACCCCAAACCGAACGCTACTCCCTGAGTGTGGGAAGAGCTGGAATATTTAGCAGGGTTTCCTGCACTGGGCAGCACAAACTTAGGTTTGCTGTCCTCCTTGCCTGGGGCCTCTTTCTAAGCATGCATTCTGTGAACCTGGGCTATGGGACACTGCCTTGTTCAGCCAGTTATCAAACCTAATGACATCAGAGGCTGGGCCAGGTTGGGCCAGACTGGGCGGTCCATTTGAAGCCGTGTTGGCCTACCATGTGCTGCAAGAGGCTGCAAATGACTTATCAGGCACGCTCTATGATTGAGAAATGGCACCTCCCTGGGTCACTGCCACTGTCTAACAGTACATGGAAGGGGACTCCTTGCCCTCCCGCTGTCCCTCCCAACCTACCTCCCCACCTCCCAGGAAGGTCTGGAGCATAAGGCCCCTCACTCACCTCCTGTGGCCTTCTCTCCTCGCCTTTCACTATTCTTCAGTCAGCTCTCTAGAGCACGAAGGGGAGGGAAGATCCCAGGACCTTCCTCTGCCGGCCTAAGAGAGAAGCACACGGTGATCAATGTAATTAAGTGTCCCTGCAGATTCTGCGACTGGCTGGAGTCCAGGACGTTGGGAACCGCACCTCTCCCCGAACGAACTTGGGTGCCTGCTGAACTGCAGACCGTGGGGCTGGCGAGGGTGGGGGAGGGGAGGCGCAGCGCCGCTTCCGAGGTCGCCAGTGTCCCCGCATGCTCCGTCCCGCGCGGCGCTCACGCGGAGGTGGGTCGCCGAGTCCGCGAGCCGGCACCCAAGGGCCCCTAGGTCCCGCGGCGGGTCAACCCCAAACTTCGGGGACTGAGAACTCGGGGCACGGGCAGTCCAGCCAGTCCCCTGGGGAGTCCTGATCCCCGCTCCGGTCCCGGGATCCCTGACCCATCGCGGCGCCCGGGACACTCACCTGCCAAGCGGGAAGCCGCGGAGAGCCCCGAGAGGCCGCGGGAGCCGGGCCCGCCCTCCGCGGGAGGGACCTCGGCGCGGGCACGGCAAGGAGGGGCCGCGGCACGTCGGTGCGGCGCCCGCTTCACCTGGCGCGGAGTTGGACTGCAGGGTGTGGCTTCAGGTGGGACGCCCAGAGCGCGGGAGCTCCGGAGAGATCGCTGGAGGCGCAAGGACTCCAGGATCGGCCTAAGGACCGACGACCGACAGCGTGCCCACCGCCTTCCTCCAGCCCCGCCGACCACGGCCTGCCTGCCGCGACCTCCCCGCGGCCCCAAAGCCAGGGTCTGAATTATCTTCTGAGCGGCTGTTGAGCAATCAGCTCGCGCCTTTGCTCGCAGACGCCTACTTTGGGATCCTGAGCCCACTCTGTAAAACCTGTGTCCATTCGCACATCTCTCAGGGCCCGATCCGGAGTCCTGAAACCGGGCACCTTGACTGGCTTGCCAAGTCTGGACAAGTTCCCCCGCCCCGCGATTTCCCGGGTCCTTTCCTTGTGCAGGCAAGAGAGCAGGATATAAAGGAATTCCGATATTTCCTTGTCACCCTGACTTACTCCTGAGAACTTTCTGTGGTTTTAAGATCACAGAAAAGGGATTTTGAGGGGGTAGAGATCGCTTCCAGCAGCGTGGCACCCAGAAACTGGACGATGAAGTCCCAGCGGGACAGAGCCCTTTACCTGGTTTGAGGGAGGGGCAGTAGCCACCTGTCTGTCTCCTCCCCAAACAAGGAAAAGAAAGACCTTTGCTGTCTTTCACTTGGACCCTTGGAGAGAACTTTACTCTCTGAGGGCTGAGGGGATTCTAGCTTAGAAATGCTGACATCTGGAACCCAAATGGCTGCTTCATATACGGGCTAGGTGACTGCTGGTGTCAGTCACAGACAGGGGACACAAGACACCGAGCAGTACAGGACTGTTTCTTTTGCCACCATTGCTGGGTATCTCAAATTTGATTTTTCATTGACATCATGTTCGCCACACATTTTTGTTCACTGATTCTTTAGCCATGTGGGTGCTGTTTCTGGATAAGTCGCCTGCAGTGTGGGCTCGGTTGCTTCCCTGGAGTTTATTTTAGGGCTCCTTTAGCCGTATTGGTGCTGTCTCTGCATAAGTCACCGCACTGTGGGCTTGGTTGCTCCCCTGGAGTTTACTCTAGGGCTCCCACCAACCTGAATAAAGATGATCTATGGGAACTCGACAGCCCCACAAAACTCTAAACCTATCGTGGTTGCACCTCAGATCTCCATACCCTCATTGTACTGGAGAAGGCAATGGTGCCAGCCTTGTGTGCTGTGGAAGGGGGCGCGGAAGCTTCAGCAGCTGATCACGGGTTCTCCCAGACCCACACATCTGTACATTCCATGTCTGTTCGCTCCTTGCTCTGTCTTCCCTTCCTCCTCTCTCAGTCTTTCCTAAGTGATTCTCTTTTCTCTGGACATTATGAGCAAAGCCCTTCCCTCTTGGCCAGCCAGGAAGCTTCCTGAGTTCCTTGAAGTGACACAATATGGCTTCCCCATAGATCAGTCACCCCGGGGCCTAGGTACTTGCCTGACATTGGCTATGAGAAGGAGGTTGTGCTGTGTAGAGAGAGGGGGAAGATTGGTTGCTGTGGATTTGAAATGAACTGCAAACCAAAGTTGGAAGGAAATGTAGCATTGAATCTAGAATCAACACCCTAAATTACTTTTTACTGATCCACAAGTGTACATGTGAATTACCATCTTTTAGTAAAATATGTTTTTATGCCCAAACCATAGCTCTAAGCATTAATTTGAATTGTTAAACTACAATAAAATATAAACATTAGCATATTACCAGGAATCAACTAGTACCTAATTTGGTTTGAACCAAGGTCGACACATCCCAGAGTAGATATTAACCAAGTTTCATCCTTTTCTTACAGGGAATAGATTTAGAAAACACCGGGTCTCTCCTCCACCCGTGGAAGCTGAATTGGGGCCTGAGGCCTCAAGAAAGGCAGGGCCTCCCAAACAAGATGGACCAAGCAGGTAATGACTCCTCCATCGATGAAGCTAACCAAACCAGATTATCAGTAAGCTTTCCTAGAGAAAAACTTTCCATCTCAGTACACGGCTACACTAGGGGACTGCTCATCACATCAAGTCCTGTTTCTATATTTTCCTTTTTCCGCTGCTTCTACCCAAGGTTCAGCTCACTGGGTTGGATGATGCCCTGTCGGTCGAGATGACTGGGATATGCAGGACAGACTGAGTGGCTGACTCTGGCTTGTGCCTTTCCCTCTTCTCTGGGCTACACTGATCCGTGTCCAGCTCAACCCTGCCTCGGAGGAGAGAGCAGGAAAGTCCTAGCAACAGTCGGAAGGACAGCGTTGCCTCCAGTGTGCACACACCTTGCTCTAGGCCTGTTTCCTCCACTGTGGAGCCAAGGATATGGGACGCCAGGCGCTGCGCTCCCTTGAGGAGACTTGGTCTCTGGCATAGGTCTGTTGCCAAGGGAGTTCATGTACTGCCATCCACACATCAGGCCTTGGAGAAAAACACAGACTCTTGGAGTACTGGCCAGCCAGCCAGCCAGCGCAGTCTTCAAGGGCCTCAGGGTGGCACAGAGGGTGGGGTGAGTACTTCCCAATTCAATCTCAGCCAGTGGCTGTCGGGCCTGTTGTAACATCTGACTGGTACCGCCAGGGCTGGGCGCCCAGGTTAGGGCCAAAGAGAAAAGATATAGATCAACTTGTGGTTTAGAAATACAAACACATTATCCGTCTCTGCACCTTTCTCTTCAGGACTTGAAAAGCTTCCTGGGAACCAGGAGCTTGCTAACAAGCTCCCTTACTCAGTGTAGTTTCCTATCTGTGGACGCCCCTTCTCCCCTATCAGGAGTAATCACACCTCCAGTTTCTGAACGCTTCCTGTGGGTGGAGCCCTGAGGTGTAAGCTAAGAGCTTATGCTGCCTGCCTCACTCTGTCTGCAAAACAACCCTGGTGGAAGTTATTAACATAGCATTATTATTACTTTACAGGTGATTGAAACTGAGGTACAGGGTGGCTAAGAAAGGACTAATTCCTGCTGTAACGCAAATGCATGGGTCCCCCACACCCACGCACACGCTTACCCATCCCATGTTGAGATCTATCTAATCACCAATATAAGAAGGTTATTAGGAGACAAGGTGTCAGAGGTGGTTAGCACCTTAAGGCCCGTTGTAACTACCGTGGTAGTTAACTCCAGCCCGCCCCCCCCCCCAGGAGAGGCAGGCGAATCTCTGTGAGTTCCAGGCCAGCCTGGTCTACAGAGAGAGTTCCAGGACAGCCAGGGCTACACAGAGAAACTGTCTCCAGAAACAAACAAGCACCCACCAAGGACAAAATATCTCTCCAGGTTAGCAGGGAAATATTCTAAAATGAGAAACACTTGCGCCCCTCCCTTCAAGGTATGCAATCTATGAGATAGCGAACCGCAAAGAATCATGATTTTCTGCTTGAATTCCTTTCTAAGGGAAGGGATAAGCTGAAGCTCCGGTGCCAGCCAGAACTTGCCTCCCAGGAAGGGACTTCACAGACTTCTGACAGCCTATCCACCCACCTCGCAGGATATGGTGAGACAAAGATGGGCACCTAATGGTAGAACCACACCTTGCCTAGGACTAGGGAGTTATACAGACTTCCTGTCCTCTATTTAAAGCTAAACCTGTTTGCGCTCCTGAAGATGGACTTGCCGGAGGGGGGGGCGGGGGTAGGGGGTGTCACTGAATCCCTTCTTTTGTTCCTCTTCCCTATGTGACCATATTGAATAGATATTTTTTTGCCCCACTCCCAATCCCCACTACTTCTTTCTTTAATTGGCATTACCAGCGAGGTGACTGAGCTTAGCTTGTTGGAGCTGCCAGAGCATGGGCTTTGTACTCTAAAAACAAACAAACAAACAAAACAAAACAAACAAAAAAACCATAAACCTCATGAATGGGATTAGTGTTCTACACAAGCAGCACCAGAGTTAGCCCCAGTATCTAGATGGTATTGTGAAAAGACAACCACTCATAAACCAGGACATGGGCCTTCACTAAACACCAGATTTCCCGGCATCCTAACCTTGGACTTCTGAGCTTCCAGAACCATGAGAACCAGCATTGCATATTAGGCGCATAGCTGTGGTGTCCTGCACAGCAGCCTGTGGCCTAAGCCGGTTACTGAGTGGAGGAGTCACACTCATATGACTCCCGGTGAGTTCTCTTAACCTCAAGTTCAGAAGTCCCTGAGGCCAAGGGCAGTCTGAACAGTTGGCAGTGGGAAGAGGCCAGCTTACACCACTCTGCAGGAAGGGTGAGTCTGGTACCTGGAATATTTCCACTCCAGATCTGAGTTAGGGCGTGAGGACTACTGTATATGCAAGGCTAAGGTGGTCACGGAATCCCCTGTGAGGAACCAAGTACTAGGTTTCAATGGTCATGAGTCAGCACCCTGCCTGCAGAGCCTCCTCAAGCTGTCTGTCCATCACAGACCAAAAGGGGCCTGACAACCTGAGTCTCACATTCAGAGGCTGCTGGGGAGGCAGGCAGCCAACACTCCAGGCAGGGGAAGGAGGAGCTCCTGCAATTCCCTGCCCCAGGAGCGGGCACTCTTTGGAGGATTTCTGCTTTCATTCCTCGCTTCTAGGATGTTCCACACCTGTCTCTTTCTGCTCTGGGGTTGGTCCTGGAAAAAGCCTCTCTGTGGCAGACAATACTCATTTGCTGATGGGGCAAGAGCCCAGGGCATATCTCCAAGGGCCTGGCAGCATGAGTTGGAGGAGAACCTTGGGCCCGCCTGCAGGAGGAGGCAGACAGGGTCTAGCTGTAGAAACCATGGATTCCTGCAGGACTAGAGCCCCTTGGACTTTATAGATGTTTATCACAAACTCAGTTTTGGTTTCTTGATGGGGAAACTTTGCTCTCTTCCCTTGGGAAGGTAAAGTGATGAGCATTAGGGTAAAGGGGTCCTTAGGAGTGGTACCTCCAAACTGAGGGAACACAGTTGATAAAGAGGCAAGGAGGCTAAACACACCACACACACACACAGTGTATCCACACACCTTCCATAAAGAGCAGTCAAGTCCATTGTGGTTTGCTGCAGAGCAGAATCCCAGGATTCTTCCAGAAGATAAAGTTACTGCCTGCTGATACTCAAATGATTCAACAGATCTATCTATGTCATTGCCCAGAAAAAGAACCCTGGCCCTACCTGTGGTCTAGTTGGGGTTGGGAGAGTCCATGGGTGCCCACCTGATGGGACCACTCATCCATCTGATGATGGAATAAGAGCTCAGGTGTATGCTGGCCTCAGCAGAAGGAGACAGCCTCATCCACAACAGTCTCTTTCTGGCTGCTTTTTCTCAAATTCTGACCCTTTCTAGAGTGTCTCCCAAATAAAAACTGGCATGGGGAGGGGGTTCAGCTAGCCAGACATTCCCAAGGGGGTCTGATATCCCAAGATGAGCCGTGCAGGAACACAGGCCTCTCTGTAGACCATGGCACTCTTCCCGGGTACATGGATGATGAGCTGAGCCAGCCTGGGAAGGCTTGGGAGCAAAGCTGTCTCTACAGCAAGGACTCTCGCCGTAGAGGCATGATAGATTCATTTAATATCTTCTTGCCACAATTGCTTTGCGGGCTCTACTTGTAATGGCCCCCAAAGTTCCATCCAATGCCTTTGGCTGTCACTTCAGCTCTCTGACTACCACTGCTACTGGCTGAACTAACAGCTGGAAGCCCCCTTGAATAGACCCCCTCCATTATCCTCTTTCCCTCTGTTGCCCCAGGTCTGAGGTTGGGGCAGGGTTACGACTGTGGCATCCTTGGGTCTGACTTTCAGGGAGGGACAGATGGCAATGGTATGGGGGTGGGGGAGACCTGTGCCTGGCCAGATGAGGACCAAAGCTTCTGAGGGAGTATGATGTTGCCCCCCCCCAATCAAGTACCACCCCAACTATTGGAAGAGAAGACCATACGTAGGTGTAATTGCATGCACACCACAGGGTCTGCGCGGTGTGGGTTCTAGGGCACTCTGGCCACTGGGTTGATATTTGAAGACATGGTTTGCTTAACTGCCACTTGGCAGGTCTGTCCTTACCTGTTCTCTGGGTATTTCCTTTTCCAGTGGGCAAAGCTCCTGCTTGCTTACTGGGATATTCCTGTGAACAATGACAGGGTGGGTCCTGATCACACCATCACCACACCCATTCCTGGGCCCCTGTTTAGCTGGTGGATAGCCAGGCGGTGCCCACCACATTTCTCTTACATGCTTCCATAGAGTCCTGAATATCTGCTTTTCCTGCTCCACTTCTGTGAGTCTGGCTCCACCTCTCACATGGGCTAACACTTCTGCCCCACCCCTCCTTTATGGACATTGGACATGTCCTTCCAAGAAGTTCTACCCTAAAGTCTTCTTGCCTGTCTCGGATCTGCTGACATGGGACCACCCTCCTCCTCCTCCTGGGAACTGACCTCTAAGGGTGACAGCTACACACTTGCATTCCTTCCTCAGGTCTAAAGAAATGGCTCAGTAGGCAAAGTCCATGCCGTGTAAGTATGAGAACCTGAATCCATACTTTCTCCCCCACCAGAAACCACATCAAAAAGCCAGCTAGCTAAGGCAAGCACAGAGTACATCTCCAGCTCTTGGGGTGAACAGGAGACAGACCGCCAGGGCTCTCTGGCCAGGTGAAATAGTGAGCTCCAGGGTCCAGAAGACCCAAGTTCAGTTTCCAGAACCCGCATCATGTGGCTCAGCACTGCCTGTAAGTCCAGCTCCAGAGGATCCACCCCTCTCTTCTTGCCTCCATTGGCATGTACGCACACATGGCATCCCCATACACAGACACATACATATAAAATTAAATCTCTATAAAAATCAAGTAGAGAAGTAATTGAGGAAGACACTACTGTCAACCTCTGGCCTCCTCATGGGTACACACACACACACACACACACACACACACACACACTCTCCTTGCTGGAAAGGAGAATACATACTGGTGAAAAGGCGATCTGAGATACATCTCTCCATACGCCTTCTCTTCCCTCTGCCCAAACTCTCTCACTTCCAGATCCACCCATCACTGCCCCCTTCGTGGCCTAAGGTATTCTCAGCCTGTGATACTACCTGGGACACACAGAACTTGAATCAATCCATTTACAGATTAGTTAGATCTGTTTGTTGGTCAGTGGCCTAGTGCCAGGAATGATGTCTGTCCTTGGGGAAGACTTGGTTCATAAGCACAGGTCAGACTGAAGCTCCACACTGAGCAGAATGCAGATGGCAGAGCACAGGCCCCTGTGAGACCCTCATGCCCAGAGGAGGCATAGGGACCTGCGCAGCCTCACACTGTCCAGCTGAGCCACCTCTCCCGAAATCATCAAGCTACGGGCCATTCTTGCCTGCTGCTGGTCAAGGGAGGTGGGGTTTCTAGTTAGCTGGGTGACCTCAGGACCCACTTTTTCTCTCTGAGCTTGCTTTCACCTATAAATCAATGAGAATAGAACTAAGCCCTGTGAGAGAACCTCCTTTTTCTTGAAGGTGTGGCAGCATCGAAGAGGGCCGACTCATTTATGGGTGGTCCCTTCCTCTCCTGGGCAATGCGTACTCTGGCCTGGCCGCATGGCTGTGGTATAACTGGTCCCCTAGCTCCTTCTACCTCAGTTCTTTCTTGCACAGTTTCAAAGGATGCCTCATTTGAAGCTGAAAGAAAACAAATGGAGCTGGAGATGCTCCAGGCCAGGAAACCAAACTCCAGAACCAGTCCTCCCGGTTTTAACTCTGCTGTTGCCTTGATTTTTGGGAGTCCCTGTGCCAAGCAGGCAGCCTTGAGCAAGGTGACCGGTTTGCTGCTATTTGCCCTAGGGGAGTGTGGGCTGGGCTCCTGCTGCACTGGAGGATCAGAGGCCAGAGCAATCATAGCTGACTTGAGGTTTCTGCTCTTCCTCTTCCTGAGTGCTCAGGGAAGCCTTTCCAAGCTCTGGGCAGCCTGAAGTCAGGAGGTAAGACCCAGCCACAATGCTTCCTCCTTAGCCAGAGCTACATCCCGGGACAGCAATGTCTGATTTGCTGATCAAATAGGACTTTAGCAGAAATCCATGCCCCAGGAAAGTCCCAATTGTCCAAAAATGGTCATCAGCATCCCTCTGTAAATTCTTGGGTCTCTGCACTGCAACAATGCCATAACGAGCTTTGGTAGATATTACTGACCCATATGAGAGTTCCTTTGCTGTGATTGAGGTCCTTCGGCCTCTTGTCCAGAGAGGGCACTTAACATGACTTCTCCCAGCCTACAAAAACCTATCGTGGTCTGGGTGAAATCAGAACAGGGTGCTACATTTTCTAAATTACTATGACGAATTACCATTTGGTAAGAAAGGTTTAAAAAGTCTTTGGGATTGAGCATCTCATCACTTGTCAGAGTGGTCCTCTCTGCATGCTTCAAGCTTTGCGCTTCAGGCAGGGCTGGTGAGTACACAGCTCTTAAAAAAACAGCAGCCGCCACTATGAGAAAAGATGTCAGGCCCAGAGAGGAGTGGAACTTGGCCACTTCGCCTCTCCATCCCTTCCATGGGCACAACCCACTCCAAATCCTCAGGACACTCAACCCTGTACCTCAGAAGGGACTGTTACCAGTCACCTGGGGATCCTTAAAGGGCCTGAGCACACAATCAGCTCCAGGGGCGAATGGATCTGGTATTGCTATTCTCCCCAGCTCTCTTGGCCCTGGGTCCATCAGCGTTGTGATGCCTCGGCTTCTCTCAGGGGAGCGTTTTCCACAGCCACCCAGCAACCCTCTCTCGGGTCCCCTAAATAAGGTGGGTCTCTTCCTGCCAGCACCTTGCCCCTCTGATGGTCTCGGCAGAACCATCATGGTTACCCACTCAACAGCCCTAGCCCACAGGTGCTAATTATCTCTGTGGTCAGGAGAGGAAGCTGAAATGGAGAAGAGATGTGAAATAATTCACCCAAGTTACCAGAAGCAGCAATGCAGGCCTGGTACGCGCTCCTCACTGCAGAGTGACACCATCCGAGGTCTGACTGACTTATTCCTGAGCACTCTTTGCCTGGACCTGGAGGTAAGGGTTGCCTCCTCTGATAGTGTTCACTCATAACATAGGGTTGTTTTATTGTTTGTTTGTTTGTTTTAGTAGGAGGTACTTTATGAAGTTCTAGTTCAGGAGTGGCTCGAGTTCATAAAGTATTTGGAATGGGTGACTCATGGGTGACAACTTCAGGGATGAGACCAGGGCCCAGCAGAGGACAAAACCACCCAGCTGCAACCTGGTTCTGTGGCTCAGCTGGTTCCTCGTGGCCTTGACCCCAAACTTCCCTCTTTATCCTTCTACTGCCTGCAAACTCCCCCAGGCCCTGTTTCTCTCTTTTCCACTCCCTCTTCCAGCCATCTGGATTTGGTACTTAGTAGCCAGGCAATCACTAGATGCAAGCCAGTGAGCAGGAACAAGAACTGACTGCACCCCACAGCCTGCCAGAGGCCACAGTCCTCTGGCCACCCCTGATGCAACAGGGTTGAGAGGTGTTTGGGTCACCAGGGTGCCAGCCTCGTGAGTGGATTAATACCTTCGTCACGGTGTACTGTAGACGTGTGTGTAGCCCTTCTGCCTTCTGCCACGCGATGACACATTCAGCACAAGGCTTTTGCTAAATGTCAGCCCTTTGACTGTGGACTTACTTCCCAGTTTCCAGAACTGTAGTTCCAATAAAGTTCCATCATGTGCCAATTACTTAGCTGTATGTATTGTGTTGTGATAACAGACAGAACGGCAGAAAAGACAAGGTCTCCTTCATCTCCTTGGTACTAATTCTCTGCTTATCCCTTCCTGTACCCAGGGTCTAACTCATGATGGAAGTGGAGTGGGGAGGGGGCAGGGGAGGGGTCCCTCCCAGGTCATGTACATAGCTTACACACACAGGAAGGTCAACCTTAGCTAAGGTGTTTTCCATTTCCTATGCTCTGCCCCAAGCTACAAGCTAGCTCCTTTATGCCAGAAGACTCACAGAAATGAGCTCTTTTTCAAGGCTGTCTACAAAATGCTTGATAATAAGGTTTGCAGGACCCTAGTACTGCCCAGATCTGACCACCGACTGTACTGCTGGTTCTTTCCCCTGAGAGTCTGGATGGCAGCAGCTAGGAAGAGCCCTCTGCTTCCAGCCACAGGTTTCCCAGGAACCCTTTCTGCCTCTGCAAGGGAGACTCAGTTCATTGGAGGACTCTCTGGGTCACGTGGGTAAGGAGGACCATTTTCTAGGATCTTGGCCTATCTCTTGGCTGGCTTTGCCAGTCCTCTGTGCAGAAAAACTCCCATAGAGACAAGTATGACCAGAATCCAGTCCAGAGCCTTTACTAAACCTCTGAAACCCCCAGCAGCCTTCCCATCTGCCCATGGCCTGGCTTCTGCCCCAGGTTTACCTCTGGCCAAGCCTCCCTGAGGGCCCACTGCTCACTTGGGTACTCTTGCCAGCATCTGCCACTCTGCCCGCAGCTGGGCACTGGCTTCTGCTCAGCTCTGCAGACCAGAAGGACCCCACAGTTAAGAGTCACCTTTTGGGAGGAAGCGAGAAGCACTTCCAGAACCAGCTCATTTTCCTCGTCCTGGAGCCAGGTGTAGAACACACTACGGTCTCCCAGGACAGGGGACAGTGTTGGTCATCCTGCAGAATGATACACAGAGCACCCTGGAATCCCACTGGCCTGTGCCTTCCCTATGCTTGCCAAATCCCAAACGTACTCAATATGTAATGTGGGGGGAGGGGTCACCGGAAAGATTATGTAGTTCCTCTATGCCCTGCATGGGCTCAGAGTTTCCACCCATATCTAATACTTCGAGAAGGGCTTGCTCTTTGTGCCAACTGCGCTGGTGTCCTTGTCATTAGAGTTCCTGGACTTAACCGCCAGAAAAAAAAAAAATGTGTGTACAGCTGCCCACAGAGGGAGACTCTTCTTGGCCCAAAGGCTAATCGTCAGTCTTAACTAGATGAGCTCCCAAGCCCACCCTGGGAACTCAGTTTCCATCAGAACGAATTTAGGGCAAGACCCCCACCAGAACCCCAGCAGAAATGCAGGATTCTCTGACCTTGGTATTCCACACCAGAGGCTGTGCTGCCTGGGTCTTAGGAGCCTGAGAGGTCCTGGGGCCTGGTGGAGCCTACCAGCCAAGAACCCTGAGCAGAGGCTGGGAGCCCAGACAAGACTAAGGGGAGCACTAGCACACACACACACACACACACACACACACACACACACAGGCAGGCCCCTAGCCCTGGCCTTCTGCTGACTTTCAGAGTCAATCTGCCAGGTTAAGTTCAGGGAAAGGGCACCAATAGGGAGCAGGAATCCAGTAGGCAGAGGACGCGCGCACCATAAATATTTGTGGAGTGACTCCACGAGGGGCAAGTGAGAAGGGCTCCTTGGAAGGAGTCCTGGTAGCCCCCAGCTCAGTCCAGAGAAAACAGGAAGCAAATTCAGGGACTGCAGAAACAAGCCCAGAGGCTGAAGTCAGTTCCCACAGAGCTGTTTCAAAATCTACCTGAAGAGTGGAGGCAAGCCGGAAGCCGCCTTGGGAATCTTTAGTCCAGGACCTCACAGCTTCTTTTGTGAACACGGAGTTAGCATCTCTATTCTAGGTGAGGAGCAACCTCAATATATGGACCCCCTGTCCCCAACTCAAGAATCCAGAGCCTGCTGCCACAGTGGGAACCTTACCTTGGCACTCCTTCCGGGCAACTGGGCCTCAGCCTCTCCCACCGCAGACTGGTGATTGTCTGAAGCCCGAAAGCTGCTCTACCTTTAGGCAAAAAAGAAAAAAAAAAAAAGAAAGAAAAAGAAAAACCTCAGCGATTGTCTCTGTCAGCCTCTTTTCTCCGGAAGGTTCCTGGTTGGTGTCATCTTGTCTCTGTGGGCACAACCTCCCTCCCTGTGGCAGCTTACTCACCGGTGTGCCTGAAAGCCTGCCAGTTGTGTGGGGGAGGCAGGGGGCCCACACCCCTCTGCCTGACACACACTGGGGCATGCCTGTAAGAGGACCCCAGGACTTCAGAGTGACCTCCAACTGAGACCTGGAGAGTAGCCTGCTTGCTAAATGTGTTTATGAGCTTAGCAGGGGACATACGACCAGCTCTGCACAGGAGAGTGACAAGAGCTTGCTAGGAAGGTATTCCCCGAGTGCCAGGGATGTCAGGAAGATGGAGCGATGGGCCTGCAACCCCCAAGCCTTCTGAGTTTAGTTCCCACGCTTGGCCAGGCCTCCGGACCACTTCCTACCTTGCATCTGGCCATGTCTCTGTCTTGTGGACCCAGGAAGGATTGGCCTGAGCAGGCAGTTGTCCTTTAGTGGGCTCAGGCCATGTGTTTGCTGAGCAATCCCTTCTCCCCAGCAAGCATTCAAGACTAGACCCGCCCAGCATCAGGCAGGATCAATGCCATCAAGCCCCCCATCCCCAGCTCTCAGCTGACCAGCCGCTGTTCTCAGATCTGGCTGGGCACATACACTCTGACACACCCTCACCATCTCACACACGTGGGTCCACACCCAGTACAGAGCCACCTACCTGCACAGGCCTGCCTATGCCAATCCAGCCTTGCTTTCCAAATACCAATGGTCCTGGAAGCCACACACTTACAGGAAGATCCCCTTGAGAGGTGAGCTCAAAGCTAGCACAGGAGGACTCCAGTCGGTGTGGACCAGACTCCCCTTCTCTTCTAGCACCTTCAGAGGACACAGGGGCAGCCTGATCACCATGTCTGCTATTGTACTCTGCCAGCTGCGGTCTCTCCTTGGGCACCTCTGGCTCCCTCCGTGCCTTCCATGTCCTTAGGGGGTAGTGGCAGCTTCCCAGCGAGTTCCATCTTCCTCCAAGCCGAGGCAGGGAGGGGAGAGTTAGAGAAGGGGCGGGCCTCAGGTACACCTCCAAGTTTTCAGCTCCCCAAATAATCAGATGCAAAGGGGGAAGGAAGAAAAGCCAAGGCGGGTGGGTGACTCAGTGACGGTGGGCCGGCTTAGTCACCTGGATGGCTGCTTGCTGCTCCCGGTACGTCAGGAACAGAGCAGTGCCCTCCCCCCACCTGCTGTGGTCCGCCGCTGCTTTCAGGAGGAGCTGGCGTGGAGCCTCCAGCGTGTCCTGGCTATGGAGCAAGCAGCAGCCTCTCCCGCCTTCCTCTGGCCGATTGATCAGGGCCCCGTAGCCCCGGCCGCGGAGCGCCCCTCCTCCACCGTGCACCCCAGCTCACTTTGGGATTTCTCCATTAGATCCTCAGGCAGCGACCTGCTCCTTTAGGGCGCGAGCAGCTCCAACGTTGCCTGGCAATTTTGATATCGTCGGGGGTTGCCATGGGGAGGAGGGTGATGTCATTGACACAAAAAAACCCACTGAATTTACAAATCAGCTGGGGCTGGAGCTATTTATAAAAACACGTTTCTCGCTGCTTTCCGTTGCTGAGGGGGAGGGCGAAGAAGGACTGAGGGGTGGGGCTCATGGAAGCCTAATGTAGTCACCGTTGCTCCCCAGAAGCCAGACCTTCTTGGCTCAGCGCCAAGTCTCACCCCCTCTCCCGCCCCTGCTCTAGGTTTGCAGCTGTGGGTCTCAGCCCTGGCAGGCGTGGCCACAGCTGGAACGCACACTCCTTTACTGACTCTCATCTGGTTTTGTCCTAAAGGGCAAAAAGGGTGAGGATGAGCGGTGGAGTACTCAGCCCTGTGGGTACCAGCCTCCCTCTCTCCCCTGCCTCTGCAGGCCCCTCCCATGATTAGAAAGAGTAGCACTGGCTGGAAAGGAGACTTGGGCTTTCAGGATGCCCACCCGCTGGTTCTCTGGATAGCTCTGGCTGAGCCTCCTGCCTCCGGCACCGGCCATTTTTCTTCTGTCCACCTGTGAAGTGCCCAAGTTCCAGTCTTAGCCAGTGGTTCGTCTTTTCCCTGTTCCCATCCATCACCCCATTGTGACACCTCCTTTCCGTGGCTTCCACTAAAATCCCGTGAAGGCTGGTCTCAAACCTTTGAAGCAGTTGTTCCATTGTGGGCAACTCACCCCACAGTGGCCAACACCTGTTCCTAGACCCCCAAGTGCGGACAGGAGGGAACTGGGAATTGATTCTAACCACCTGACGTCCAAGATGGCACTAAGGTGTACATATTGTTTTTGAATATCCGTTCTTAACCTTTTCCTAAAATTTGGCTAACACCCTAAGCTCCAAATTTTCCTTCTGGAGGTCACATCTCAGCTCCACAGTCCATTGGTTGAGTGACTTTGGCATGCTGTTTAACCAACTGAACCTCAATGTCATCATCTATAAAATGGAGACAATTTCACCTGCCTCGCAGGATTGTGGGGATTTAGCGCACACAGTTCCTGGCTCAGGGACTCGATTGGAGAGCTCAGTGAACATCTGCTTTCTTCTTGGTTGGTCTACACCGTTTATTGTTCTACCTTATGGACCCATTCGCCAAGTTAATCTTCTAAAGCTCTGAGTCCCAGCCACTGTCTGTGCAAAGGTCTCAGGTTGCACATTCAGTCCCCACATCATGGAATCAAAGCACCAACATCATCCAGGGACCAACAGGAAACATTTCCCCTTTAATTAGGTAGGCAGTTCCTTTTGGAGACCTCTGCATTTCCTCTTGGTCCTTCAACATAGAGTTGTGAGGAAACAGTTATAAATGATACATATAGGGTCTGAAACACAGGCAGATGCAGATTTAGTCAGAAGCATATCTACGATGGATCATACCTGTGATTCCATCACTCAGAAGACTGAGAAGCAGGGGGATTACTGTTAGTTGGAGCCTCTAGCCTAGGCTACAAAACCTGCTAGAATCTAATGTCACCTTCCCAATATATTAGTATTGCTTGTGATTAGAAAAAAAGTGGAAGCTATAATAAGGTTCACAAATAGAGGATTGACTAATATAAGAGGGTGCTTCCTAATGCAACCAAGTACCTGGATACTTAAAAAGGATGGGGTTGGCCAGCAAGATGGCTCAGTGGGTAAAGGTGCTAGCCACACAAACCTGACAACCCTAATTGGAGCACCAAATCCCACAATGGAAGGAGAGAGATTATCCTCTGACCTCCACATGTGTGCCCTGGCATTTATGCACACACACACTAATAATAATGAATACTAATAAAATAAAATTTTAAAATTATATCTGTTTGTATGTGGGGTAAGGATGGTAGTGCCAACTAAGGGGAAAGACATCTACTTGCTGCAAGCCAATGAGAAAAGCACTTCGTGTTCGCTGAAAGGTAAAAGATATTGCTACATCTGTGTTTAGCGACAAATGCTCAGGCTATTCCCCCAAGATGGGACCTAGTAAATCTTTTACTTAAAAAAAAATTAACTTTTGCATTATTTGAAATTGTCACTGAGCGAGCATATTTTTCTAGTTTTAAAATTACAAAGTTAAAGATATGCAAGAAGGACTGGAGAAAAATCCCAGTGGTTAAGAGCACTGACTGCTCTTCCAGAGGACCCAGGTTTGATTCCCAGCCGCACACGGCAACTGGAACCACCTGAAACCTAATTCTAGGGGATCTGACACCGTTTTCTGGCCTTTGTGGGCACCAGACACACACATGGTGCACAAATATGCAGGCAAGCACCTATATACATAAAATAAAAACTCTAAAGAAATAAGCATGAGTTTAAAATTTCAAATACAGAATACAAAACTAACATGGGAACCCACAAGTTATGAAGAGTAGTTAAAATACTTGTATTTGAACATCTCTCAATTTCATTTTAAGGCAATGTGGGCATATGAAAAATCATTTTTTTCTTCTTTCAAATTTCCAGAAATTATCTGTTTTAGAAGGAAGGGCGACATAAGGATTGACAGAGGCGGTTTTTTTTTATTATTATTATTATTATACTACATTTGAAAGAATAGTTGACTACGATAACAATTACAGTCACTCTCTTTAGGAAATGGGACAGTTCTAGGTTCCGGCTGGTTTATAAGAAGTAGCAGAAATCCTGAAGAAACGGCCTGCATCCCCAGTCCAGATACATCTCCTTTCTGCTACAATACCCAGCAGTCACAGATAACGGCGAGGGCATGAAGAACAAAACAAGCCACCTCCCGCCCCCCCCCGGACCAGCCACGTTCTCCAGATACCAGCCCGGAGAATGGAGAACAGCACAGAGAAATCAGGGCTGCCTCAGGGCCTCTAAGCATCAGATTCCAGTCGACAGGGATGCTCACACCCGGACAAAAGCTTCGAAGCACCTAAGGCAACCCTGCACGGGGACCAAGAGGATTCTGATTGGCTGGCTCAGGTCATGTGTGCACTGCTCACTCTGGCGAAGGGGAGGGAGACTCTGGGAACAGGGCTTCTGCTCTCACACATGTGAGCTGGAAAATTAGTGTGATCCCATTAAAGAAAAGGGAACTGGGTTCCCAACCACCAAAAACACCCTCAGCAACAACAAATACATCCGCCAGGGGGCGTCACAGCATCTCCGCCACTTTTTCTAATTGAGGTCACTTCCTGAGAGCCCGCAGTTATTATTGTCTCTTAGACTCCTCATAATTTTAGGGACTTCTGAAAGCTGATGGCCTGCGCAGACTGAGACCCAGTTCTCTGTCATGTTGCATGGTTGGGAGATGTGATAAGATATCTGTAAACTCGGGTCTGTACACACGTGCACACACGCACAGGCCATATGAAGGGCAAAACTGCCACCAGCCATAGACAGAATTCCAGAAAAGGCTTGACTACTGCCTGTTGAAATGAGAGGTCTCAGATACCCCAAGTTCTGGCCAGTGGTATGCCCGACACCCTCCTTGTCCTTCTGGAGTGACCGTCCTCCCTCCAGCAGCCTCTGAGCTCTCTAGGACAGGATACAGAGGCTGCTTGTGTCCTGCAGTTGAATGAGGGTCCATCAGAAGATGCTCCTTAGAATACGTGATTCAGAGCGCAAATGGATTCGAGGAAGCCCCACCCCTTCTTCTAAAGATGCCAACTGCCAACTGCAGCCCTGGGAGATGAGGTGATTCAGCAAAAACACGGAGGAAATTACAGGCAGTCAGGAGTAGAAGGTAGCTTTCCTGCCTCCCAGGTTTGGGTGTTCCCGACTGCTGACACAGGCCCATCGTAGCCGGTAGCCCTGAGCGCGATATGATATTTCAGTGACTCTGGCCAGGCAGCGGCAGTCCTGTCCGCGTGGACATTTTGGCCTTTAAATTTTGGCTCCCAGGGATCTGCCGCAGTGTGAGTCAGCCAACCTAGTGTCCTTACGACTTCAAAATAAAGTCTTTTGTTTTGCTCGCTTCTGTCTTTGTGAATGAGCACAGACTCACGAACTCAGTAGTGACCTTCCTTACTTCACAGAGTCAGCTCTGCAGGAACAACCGTTTGTACTTGCATTGTCCCGTTTCATGGTTTAAAATCATTTGGGGGTGTGGTTGAGAAAGCCATGTCAATAACAAAAACTAAAGCTTTCGTACATCAACAACTCCAAAGTTTTGTCTTAAGTGACAAAATGTTAGACACAAAATTTTGGGGTCCCAGTGTGTTCAAAAATGTCCTCTTTATGGCCCCAGATGTCCTAATCTTGTGGTGCTCCCCCACACTCCCTACCACCTTTTACACAGCTCTTTTTGCTGACTGAGCTGGGCTTGTCTGCACCTGCCTACTCTGTCAGAGCCTGGAAGAGAGGAGGCACACCTACCCGGGGCCAGCCCAGCCCAGGTCAGGACAAGCCTGAGAGTAACAGCTTGGGCACATGGACATGTGTTGCCCCTGGATACCCTGCACCTCAGAGCTGGCCTAGCCCTGGCCTTCAAGTGGAAGAGGCTAGCCCAGAGGCAGAGGTCCATCCCAGGTCACTGCACCCACTCTAGGGGGTTGGCCACAAAGAGGAGAACCACTAGGTCCATTCAAGGTGTTCCTAGAGGGAAGGGGACCCCAGGGTCTGTCGATGGGGGTGCTCCAGGTCCCCTGCATGCCCTTTCCAGCTCTGCTCCACCTTCCTTGGGGTCTGCCTACAGTCCTGTCTCCTTTCTCTAGATGTGGGTGCGCAGGTGGCAGTTGAGGAAATGTGGGTGGGAACTCTTCCTCTTTTGGTAAAGGCAATTGAGGCAAGGGGTGCCAGGAGGGGCCACCAATGACCACCTAGCAGAGGGTACTGTGGGCCACGACCCCCCCGCCAGGCCTGACCCGGGGTGAGGTTGCTTCTCTTCCTGGAAGTAAAGAGGAGGAAGAGAAGCCTTCCAATATCGCGGCTGGGCTGCAATCCTGGCTGCCCGTGGGCAGGAACAGGTGGGGAGGAATTGTGAGGGACCTGAAGGAAGACAGGACTCTTCTCTGAGA